CTCCTGTTTTTTCACGGATGCCTTGCACAACATCAATGTATGATCCGCATGCAATATGCTTCTTTTTCCCCCCTCATCCTTTTATCACCTCTTAACCCTCTTACTCTGTCCAGGTGTTCACTAGGCCAAACTTCAGCAGCTTTATACAAGAACAGACAAACACATTCCAGTGTAAGGAAACCCTTCCCCCAAATTTAAAATCACTCCTCCTGTGTAAGGGTAGAACCTATTTTAGTCTCTTCCAAATAATCATTTTTTGCCCCCATTGAGTAAGCATTATAGGGGTTTTGTTTGAGCAAAAATGAAGCAAGCAACTAGCACAGCATGTTTCCAGTCTGCTAGTCAAGGTTGGTGCATTTGTCTACATCTGAAGAGACCACCTACTCACGAGAAGCATCGAGCCACTGGTGCTCAGATAAATGACATTCACCTTTAATACAGGCACTAACAGCACATTCCCCAGCTGCAGCTTCCAACCAAATTATCTAAAAATTCAACTCATCCATTATATCCTTGGAATAACTTCTGCATAAATGCTTTTTGAGTTGTTCTTTCATTCCATTTGTACTTCTGACTGCTTTCCAAGTCAAAATGCACCATCCTTCTTATTCTTTTTTAAACATTTACATCATACCTTTTCACTAGTGTCTGTAGAATCCTCACATTTCAGTACTTAAAGATGGTTAAACTCACTTTTGTGCTAACCACCAAGTATCTCTCTGTATCTTGCTTTATCTTTTGGACAGCTAGGTGCAAGAAGCACCTACAATTATGCTCTAAAATTTACAGCAGCTTTGGGAAAAATGGATGCATGGCTAGCAACATTCCCTATATTTCATAAATGTTGTCATTTTTTGAAAATGTGTTAACAAACACTAAACAGGGGTTAAAAAAAACACCTTTGAGATTCCACTCCGTTTCTAAGATCACCATAGTTAAAGAAATCCGTAACAACTGTTTGATTTGGAATGACACAACTTCTGTGTACAATAACATCTTGTAGATTTTTATATTGATTTCAAATTTAGGGTTTCATTGTCAAAAGGTGCTGATACTACATCAGCACATTTTGTGCCAAGATCTTCTCTAGACTATCAGACATTTCTCAAGGCAATTAGCTATTTATTGACTAAAAGAAATAATTTCCTATTTGAAGGAACAGGTTATACAAAAGAAAGAACAAGATGAAAAACATTTCAGATTGGATAATTTTTATCTCAGTTTGCACAGTAGGTAACTTTTAGTTTTATCCCACCAGGCAAGTATATCCAAGTTCCAACAGTTGTAATCTCTGAGGGTAAAGTAACACCCAAAAAAGCTTATTTTTCTGAATAAGTGCTGATCAACAAATGCTACTGCATGAAGTGATATGATGCTACATGAACTAAACAGTACCTTGTCACACAGTGCCAACCAATCATTTTCTTTTTTTGTACAATTTAAAAGGTTTGGCTTCTGAAAACAACTTCGATTTCTAGCAGTTTTGTAGTTTACACAATCTAACATTAAAGGTAACTTAAAACTTTTGTTGACATTGCTTGAAGAATGCTTGTTAAAAATGCAATAAAAACACTCATGCTATTTTCTAAGACCAGTGTGATGGCAAAGGAGCATATGAATTTTAAAATAAAACTTCCAGAGGTGAATTTTTCAGGAGTGCCTAAAGGACTCCATCTTACCCTCTCCAAACACTGGAGGTGATGTATAATGAGAACATCAGAGAACAAAGTGCAATCTGAAACTCTGGTACTGAGACATAGTTCCTCCTCCCAAATCCCCATCTGAACCCAAACAATAAATAAACAGAAAAAATTAACTTATTGGATGGAAGCTGATTTCTACAGTACCTTCAGAGGTGACAGCACTAGGACACACATCTTTTAGCAGATCTCCCAAAGTATGCAACTGTCCTCCTGAAGCAATTGGTCGAAATAGCTTCTGTATAAAAGGTCTCTCTGTTGTTGCCTGTTTTGATAACAAGATTAGCAAAAACAATAATTTAAGGACCATGGAAATATGAAGTATTACTATTTGAGACAGGCAGAAGCTAGGACAAAACAAGAGGCTGCAGCAGAAACAACATCTGGGCTTTGGTTTGGTTTTTTCCCCCCTCTTATATTCCATTCATATCATGAAATGCAGAGAAGTTTTTGGTTGTTGATGCTCCAGAAAACCGTGAAGATAATTTACAAACCATGTCATGGATATAAAAGCATTAAGTTCTTTTTTAATTAAAGAAAACCTCCTTCTGTTATGGGAATAAAATCTGCTTAAACCAAACATTTCAGTATATTCTTGATTAAAGTAAAACAAGCAGTGAGCACAAACTTAGGAGCTCAGCAAACACCTGTATGTTTTGCCAAGTCAAAGCAATACAGTAACAAATACCCAACAACTTCTGCACTAGTTTGTCTTCCTGCTTTTAGAAACACACCAAGCACTTTCAATGGCAAAGAAGTACCTTTACAACTTAAGCCACCTGAATTTTTCCAGGAGATTTTATGCTGGAAAATGCAAACTATTGTAGCTTTGAGAACCAAAACACAACTAAAAAAAATTAAATAAAAAAAAAATGTGCTTTCACAGACAACCTAGAGTCTGCCTATTTAAGGAATTAGTCAGGTGTAAACACCACACATGCACCACTTCTGTGGCAGATACACACAGGAATTCAGAGTGATTTTAATTCTGGGTCCTGTTAGAACTTCCATATCATCATGATTTCCTTTTTATTTGAGGCAAGAAAAGCAAATCAACTGGCAATCACTGTACCACAATGTAAGCAATAAACTCCCAGTGTTGCAGAAGAAGCAAAGTAGCTTATGGGATCTACAGACACACTTATTTAAGAACTGTGGTTATGATAAGTAATCTCATTCTTTGAGGATCTGTATAAGCAATCCCAGGGCCAGAAAGCATCTGAACTCAAAAGGATGGGAAAAAAAAAATCCTGACAGCTTGACCTCTTCTCCCAAACTGGGCACCTGAGCTAGCAAACAGAAGTTAAAAACCTCATATTCAATCAACCCCAACATTTTAATTAAGCTCTAAATTGTTGCTGACAAATTTCTGCTAAGCAGCTAACTCCAGAGAGCATCTGATGTGGCCTGCATTCCAGGGGACTGGGATCCAGTAAATTACACTCTCACCACATACTATCTTAATAGGAAAAAGAAATGCAGGCCACTGCTCCTTCCAAATTTCCTTTCCTACCACTCTAAGTGGTTCCTGTCCTATCACAGGACTTAAAAAACAGAAACAAAACAAACCAAACAGAACACCCCAAAAATATTTTACCTGCTGGTGGAGGTTTTTGGAAAAAAAGAAATAAATAGGAAGTATTGTAAGAAATGTGAAAATTAAAAATTAATTTTTAAAGGAAGTTTAAATGTGAACCCTGTCACCTACCTACATGAAAAGCCACAAGCATTAGAGTAACAATGACAACTGAATTGTCATTCACCTCTGAAACAGCAGGACAGGAAGAACTGTTGACACAGCTACTGTTAATTCCTGCCAACAGCCTCCAAAAAATGGAGGAACAGCCTTTTTCCAGTTTTTCTTACAAAGACTGATGAGAAGGAGCTGATGAGCTCCTGCAGTCAATTCTTTATGTCCTCAGGGTAGCAGAATGTGGAAACAAACAGGGCTAATGGAATGTCTGAACGTTTGAAAAATGATGGAAGGCAAACAGCCAGCAGGATGCACCTCAGACAGATCCAGCTTGAGAAGTGAACTCTGGCACAACACACTGAAGACATTTAGCTCCAAAACATTAAGAAATTAAAATAAATAAATAAATAAACAAACCCCTAAAAGCCTAAAACTGTTATAGCCCAAACAATTTTCTAGCGTTTTGGGTTTATTTTTCAAAAATAACCACTTATTCACAGGGTCTAATCACAGCTCCCAAGGGTTTGCCATCTGGAGCAGCAGAAGTGGAAATAAACATTAGAATGATGCAAGGCAAAGGTGGTTGTCATCAACAGACTTTAAAGATAAGAATTTCCCAAGTGCATATTGCAGTTTCTCATTATTTATTAATAAATTTTAATCAATTTTTCCCCCTAGTTTCATAGTTTCCCTAGTTATCATAACTTAATGCCATATTATAGCAAGAGTGAAATCCAAAGGTCTATCTTCTAGATAGTTGCTGAGCAAAGCAACATCCTCAGCTGCTATCACAAAGTGTTCTACAAAATTCAATTAATTTTCTATTTTAAATGTTGAGCAATACAGGTAAAAATCATTGGTGTCCATAATCTTTAAAATGACAGAAGTAACTTCATGGTATTTATACAAGGATTGTGATTCACAAACATAATTCTATGGGCAAAGAATGACCCCAAACATGCTTACATTTCTCTCCTCCCATGTACCAGATGCTTTATGCATTAAAAGAGTCACAAGAAAAGTCCCATCCTACAGTCTAGAATGTTTATAGGATAGTTTTTCAAAGTATCTTTGTCATATAGAAGCATAAATAATTTTAGAAAAATAAGTGTTGTAGCTAGTAATATAAAAGTCCAACTTGACCACAGCTTTCTACTCCAGTATTTACTACAGCACCACATGAAGGACTAGCCAACATGAGTAAGTGCTCACATAATGTCATGTTTTGTACAATATTTGCTTAAACAATCATGCAAAACAGTACTATCTGTAACCTCACCCACAAAGACATCACTGGTTAACTGTTAAAACTAACAAAGACTTGAAATAATCTACCTCAGGCCTAAAGCAGGTATTTGTGCAGCATCCATCATCTTCTCCTGCAAAGATTTTATAGCTCCTGTAGAATATAGGGCTTTTAAAATTATTTTATTTCACAGTCTAACCCCAGTGTAGCTGTGAGCTGTCCAAAAGATGCTGGATGCATCTGCAGGATATAACACAAGGGAGTCAATCAGTAATTGCTAGAGACAGATCTACAAATAAAATGTCTTCAAGTATGTGAGCATATTAAGACAACCACCTGGCCCAAAACTTGCAGTGCATTTTGCACTGATCATGTCCACAATTTAGTATCAAATAATCAATTTTTAAAGAAAGCAAATATTCAACTCTGAAGTTAACATATATTCTAGAAAGTTGGACTTATTTAGAATCACAGAGTCATAGAATGGTTTGGGTTGGAAGGGACCTTCAAGATCATCTAGATCAAACTTCCCTGCATGGGCAGGGACACCTCTCGCCAGCCCAGGTTGCTCCAAGCCCCATCCAACCTGCCCTTCAACACTACCAGGGATGGGGCAGCCACAGCTTCCCTGGGCAACCTGGGCCAGGCTCTCACCACCCTCACACTCCACAATTCCCTCCTCATGTCTCACCTCAATCTCCCCTCCTCCACTTTTCATCCATTCCCCCTTGTCCTCTCCCTCCCTGCCCTTGTCCCAAGCCCCTCCCCAGCTTTCCTGGAGCCCCTTCAGGCCCTGGAAGGTGCTCTAAGTTCTCCCTGGAGCCTTCTCTTCTCCAGGCTGAACATCCCAACTCTCCCAGCCTGTCTCCAGAGCAGAGCTGCTCCAGCCCTTGGATCATCTTTGTGGCCTCCTCTGGACCCTCTCTAGGAGCTCCATGTCCTTTCTATCTTACTGCAACTGAAATTTCTCCTTCCTTTATGCACCACACAGCACTGCAAATCTTGTGCTTCACAGAACTAATGAAGACTTTATTATTTTAAAAGAAATAACAGTGACAGGAAAATGACAGTGAAAACAAAATTACACTGCAGTGAGAAAAAATAGATTAAAATTTCCTACTCAGGTATATGGTGCTGGGGAGAGTTATAAGTGAGGGAAAGTTTTAAGAGGTCCTTAAAGGAAATGTAAAGCCTCAAAGGATCAGAGACAAGCTATACAGTTACATACCGTGCTAACAATTATAGCCCTTTTTCTTCCCTATCATCCTGCCAAAAAAAAAAGAGTAGTCAGCTTGCCTGGTCCTTTTCAAACACTGCATGAAATGCACAATTAGATTAGTCAGGTATTTTATACAGGATGCATCTTAAAATGAAAAACACAACTCACTAACAGTTGAGTTTTAATCTGTAAAAATTAAAGAGTTACCAGTATTTCCATCTAGAGGAAGTGACTTGGATTTTCTGCCTTAACACTCTGCTGCTGCTCCAAGAGTGTTTAAACAAATAAAAAGTTACCATACATACTGAACCCACAAAGTAAAAAAAGAATTCCTTACCATTCCCACACGTGCATAAGTTGGCAGCCTAAAACTGCAAAACTTAAGAATTCCCTACGTCCTCCACTGTATTTTCAGTAACTTGTCAAGTTCACAGTCTGTGCTGTTTCATAATGAACCACTTGACACTGAAAAATCTTTGATAATTTGATCATTTAAAACTGATTTCAACTCAACTAAGAAGCTTTAAAAGTAATAAGAATTTGCATAATGATCTAAGTTATTTTATATAAAAAGGAAAGTACAGGAAAATCAACTGCTCCCTGAAAATAAAATATTAATATATTATGATATTGTGGTACCTATTTCATCATTCAATTAATAAAAGCTTACAAGAAGACCTAAAATATCCCTGCATTACTTTTTTTTATTAGTCCAGTATTTTTTCGGTGCTGCAGGGAACTTGTATCACTGTCCTTTAAATCACTACATTATTTATCACAGACTTGCTCCAAGCAGCAGTTATAAAATTCAATTCATAGGTGTTGTGGTAGCAGCAAAGCTGAATTCTATCTAGAAAAGTAGAAGTTTAATAAATAAGTTACTCAGAATATTCATAGTGCTTTATTAAACCTGAAGTTACCTGAAGTCCTGCATTAAGAAGTATTAATTATTCTTCCCTGTTTCCTTAAGTGATTATTTTACTTCACCATATCAAATTAAATGCTAACAGGCCATAGACCAGGAAAAAAACCAAGAGTGGACAAAATTTATACCTATGTTATTAAACCAAACTTTTCTCTCTGTTCCCTCCAAAGATGGGCTCTGTA